GAGTCTTCAAGGCATCTATAGTACCTTAGTACGTCAATGGGGTAGTCCACGTAAGAAGCTTACCACGAGGTGTGACTTAGATGTTAGTTAGTTCGTCACACCATTCCCGTCTAACTCGAGTAGGCCTCCAATCATTTCGACATAGATCATCTACGTTGGTAATCTACAACACGATTTATAAGCATTGAGTAGACTGCCATTCTGCGCACAGAACAGACCCCCAAGGTCGGAAGGTAAGACAGGACGTGGGCCTGACGGGGCTGGAACGAGCCCGATCTCACTGACTATTATGCTACGTAGCCTATTAGAATTAAACGATTATGATCTAAAAATTAGACACACGCATGATCTGGAAAATGTCGGAACATTTAATTGTAGCATCATGACAGATGACGTGATAGTGGTTCAGGTAGGAAAATTGATAAGAATGGGTCGGAGGATTGATAAAAATGTCGAATTCCAACCATGTAGACTCCCTAAAGTAATCACGTGATCAGAGAAACAACAAAACCATTATCTTAATGACGCTCGAAGGCACGATAATATCAGATTTCGTGTAAGAACTGACATGAATCTAGGAGATATAATTAAAAGAAAGACGACACTAGGTTAACTAGAAACCTGTCGACAAAATGATGGAAAAACGAGTATTCCGGCTATCACCAAGTCGTTTCAGTACTTGGACGAAAAAATATTTAAGATATCGTTCTTGACTTTTGTGGAGAAGCATTTGGAATATGGGGCGAGATATAATCAAGGTTCGTATCGCCAACCTTATAACGGTTCAATATTAAATATATTGACAATTATTCAGAGTCCAGGTCAAACCTAGTCGCTTCATGTTGCACTTGAGCTCAGGCCGTAACCGCGACTAGCAATTATTGTTCTAAAGAATTTTCTGACGACTCAGATTTTTCCATTCTACCGTATATGCGTCTGTTACTCTTCGTAAAAAATCACTGGATGTTCACCAGCATTCTCCATCCTTTTCAGTTCCTTCCAGTTGCTACTGATACTTTTCATGTCTGCTTCCGATTCCTGACTCAGAGTGTTCTTCGCCCTTCCTCTTTTCAGAATTCCAGTTAAACGCACTCCTCATGATACAGTACGATGATTTCCTCAGTGTACGTCTTGTTTACTTCCAACATATTTTCCTAATTTTCTTCTCACTTGGAACATGGCTTGTGCTCTCCCTCACTAGGTTGTTACTGATGGTTTACGGTCAACGCACAGTGAATTTTTTGTGTGGACACCTATTTATAAATACATGAACTCTTTTGATGATGGTCATTGTTGTTCTCTACGTTTCAGCTCCGTATAGCATAACTGTATTGACGTTAGTATTGGAGATTGTGGTTTTAATATTGTTTGATAGATTTTTTAAGTTCCATATGTTCGTCAATTGTAGGAATGCCGACCATGCTTTGCCAATCCTTGCCATCACGTCTGCATCAGATCCTCCTCTTTCATCGATGATGCTGCTACCAATGTACGTGAAAGGTTCCACCTGTTCCAGAGCTTCTCCATCATCCGTGGTTTGGTTAGTGCTCTATGTTGTATTTGAAAATTTTTGTCTTTCTCTAGTGTACGTTTAGACTAACTGGTGCAGAGACTGCCGCTACACCAGTTGTCTTCACCTGCATTTGATCGTGTTTATGGGACAGAGGGTCCAGATCATCTGTGAAGTTTAAATCCCCTAGTCACATGCAGGCTGTCCGTTGTATTCCACGCCTCCCTCAGATATAGGGATCTCCATAATGTAGTCAATCACTAGAAAAAAGAGGAAGTGGGAATGCGTCTGTCAGCTGTCCTCTAAGAACCACTATTCACTGTTGTCTGTTGTACGAATTCTGTATGATGTTAACGATCGTATCAGGTGCACCATAGTGTCGAAGAAGTTTCCATAAGGTCCTCCTATCCACACTGTCAAACACTTCGTCATACTCAAGGGATTTGATATGTGCTGATAAGTTCCATTTAACTGATTGTTCAACGCTGATATAAAGTTACACGGTTTGGTTTGTAATTATGGTAAACCAGAACAACCAGTGAAAAACAAAAAAGGTAAAGTAATCACCAACATTGAAGAACAACGAAACAGGTGGGTAGAACACTTCAAAGAACTCTTACATCGACCAGCCCCACTGAAACCAGCCGACATCAAAGCAGCAAACACAGACCTACCAATTAATGTTGGCCCACCAACAATTGGAGAGATCAGAATGCCCATCAGACAAATCAAGAGTGACAAAGCAGCAGGACCAGACAACATTCCAGCAGAGGCACTGAAAGCAGACGTAGCGGTAACTGCAAGGATACTCCACATTCTCTTCAATAAGATTTGGGATGAAGAACAAGTACGAGCAGAATAAAAAGAAGGACACCTGATCAAGATACCAAAGAAAGGCGATCTCAGCAACTGTGATAACTACAGGGGTATCACTCTTCTCTCAATACCAGGGAAAGACTTCAACAGGATATTGTTAAACAGAATGAAAGTTACCGTAGACGCTCAATTTCAAAATCAACAGGCTGGATTCCGTAAGGATCGATCGTGTACAGATCAAATCGAAACACTGAAGATCACTTTGGAGCAATCAAGTGAGTGGAATTTATCACTTTACAGTAACTTCATTGATTACGAGAAGGCAGGACAACACTATGGAAGCTTCTTCGACACTACGCGTACCTGAGAAGATAGTCGATGTTATACGGAATTCCTATGGTGAATCAGACTTTAAAATCGTGCATTGAGGACAGCTGATCGACTCGTTCAAGGTAAAGACCAGTGTCAGACAAGGTTGCTTACTCTCACCCTTTCTCTTTCTCCTGGTGATCGACTGGATCATGAAGACGTCAACATCTGAAGGGAAGCATGGGATACAGTGAACATCTAGAATGCAGCTGGACTATTTAGACTTCGCAGATGATCCGGCCGTTCGATCGCACACACAACAACAAAGGCAGGAGAAGACGATCAGTGTAGCAGCAGCCTCAACAGCAGTAGGTCTCAATATACACAAATGGAAAAGCATGATTCTCCGATAAAACACAAGATGCATAATCCAATCACACTTGACGGAAAAGCTTCGGAAAATGTAAAATCCTTACATATCTGGAACTCAAAACAAATGTCAACCAACGCTAAAGACAGAACTTTCAATACAAATGTTAAGACAGTTCTGTTGTATGGAACGGAAACGTGAAGGACTACAAAAGCAGTCATCCAAAAGATACAAGTGTTTATTAACAGTTATCTACGCAAAATACTTCGGATCCACTGGCCAGACACTATCAGCAACAACCTACTGTGAGAGAGAACAAACCAGATTCCAGTGGAAGAAGAAATCAGAAAGAAGCGCTGGAAGTGGATAGGATACACATTGAGGAAAGCATCTAACTGCGTCACAAGGTAAGCCCTCACATGCAATCCTCAAGGCCAAAGAACACATTACGCTGAGAAACGGAGACAGACATGAGAAGAATGAACTAAGATTGGACAGAACTGGAAAGGAAGGCCCATGACAGAGTGGGTTGGAGAATGCTGGTCGGCATGCTTTGCTCCATTGGGGAGGAGGCAACAAGCTCAAGAAAGTAAGTAATATAAATAATTTCGTATATGAGATTAGAGCCTCATGAATATCTAATTGAAAACAATATTGCTCAAGACAATAATTAATACAAAATTTTGATAATTTTTCTTATGTCTCATTTATTTTCATTTATTTACCTTTCCGATTATTGCTTCTTTATTATCTGTTTATTTATACCGATCGTTTGCACGCTACATGTTATTTGATGATAACTATTTTTAATGACGAATATGTTGATACTTATAGCGCCTTAATGTACTCCCTATGTTGAAATATTTATTCACACTATTATTATTCATAGTACTATTAGTACTCCTGTCACCACAAAATAATACTGTATAGTCAGACACAACAATGCCAATGTTAAACGTATTGCAATTGTGTGAGTCAGTCAGGAAATATGTGCATGAATCAAAACTACGGCAATTTATTAGCACAACGAAGTGTAATTATCAAAATCAGAACATCAGCTTTAGTCCGCATCTAGTAAAAACCTCGAATTCCCGGTAAGAATAGTATAAATAAAAAGTAACAATTTATCCGAATAAGTGATCTGGAAGAATTTACACTACATCCAACTTTTTTGAGTAAACTATTTAAGAAATACATTTTGTTAAGCAATTTTTGTACAGTTTGTTTCAAGAGGTCGTTCGATATGAATATGATAGCTTATATTACACTTTTTGATAAGTAATAAATCAGGGAAGGGGAGGTTAACGAATATATTGGGTCTTCTTCTAGTAGAACCGGTATTCATCGTCGTCATTGCTGTCATTGATGAGTGCGTAAAATTGAGTAGCATTCATTGTGATTCCCTCCTCCTTTGTCTTGGAGGATGTTTTGATGATCCTGAATTCGTGAGATTCTCACCTAATAAGTGTATTTCATGCATCGTTAGACTGCACCAGTACAACTCCCTTTGTGTACGGAGCATTTTCCTCTTCATTACCGGTGTACAGTAGCACCTTGCCAGTATCTAATATTTGCTGTCCAGCATGGGTCCGATGGGTTTCGCCGATTTTGAGCACCACCTAGTTATATCTCCTCAGTTCCGTTGTTATTTAACTGGTCCTCCTCGTCTCCCACATTGTCCGGAAGTTCAAAAGCGCAATAAATAAAGAAAACCCAATATACTTAGTGAAAGCAAATACACGAAATTGCTTTCGAAAAAAGGATGCTCATTTAGTGCAAAATAATCCAATTAGGGAGAGGATAGTAGTTTTGATGCTTCATAAACGATCAAACCTATAAGTTTAGCTGAAAGAAGAGAGACATCAGTGTTCTTTTAAATATCGCTTTATATATACCGTATCACCATATATACCGTATTCGTTGTTTATTAACACATTAACTCAGATACAAAAAATGTAAGCTTATATAAATCCGTCACGACAAATAGTATATCTCGTGGACATTGAGAATGCAGTACAAACTTGTCCCCAATTTGGATTTCAAGACACAGCGCTCTATTTGTCTTCAAAGTGTTCACATGGAGCATGCACCGGAGGATTTAATCACTCAAGGAAGGAGAGATTTAGTGTGTGGTGATATTAACAAAGCAGTAGATAATTTTCAAAAAGCTTGTAAAGCTCTGTGAGTCTTGATGATGTTGTTTAATTAACAGGTCGATGATACATGGTGATTTTCATGAAGCTCTTGCTGTCCCTAACTTACTGTATGGTACTGCTCTTCTCGAACTATCACGAATAGAAAGTTCAGTTATCGGGAATGCATTGGATGGGAGTAAGTACCGAATGACTTGACTTAACGTGATTAGTACCAGATTCAGACAAAAATGATTCAGAATCGGATGATGGGATCATTGAACCTGGGCCTGAATTGACAAGTAAATTGGCATTTGATGTCTCAGTTTTGTAGCTGAAGAAAAAGAAGACATTTCCAATCAAGTCATAGATGCTATGTGTGAAGATAAAAAGCAGGAAGAAAGTGAGACCAAAGAAGCCGACACACCTAGCGAAGACACTGAAGCTGTAAGCGGAAATGATGCTGCTACTGATAATCCGACGGGTGACGCTTCTGAAGGGGCTGAGGATGATGAATCAAACGGATCTGAAGAGGAAGAGTCTGAGAATCAAGATGAGGTCCAGAATAATCCCACAGGATCGGAAGCTGCTAAATCCGATGATGAAGATGAAGTGTCGAATCTTCAAATCGCTTGGGAGGTTATTGAAGTAGCCAAAAAACTGTTCTCACAAAAAGATGACGAAGAGAGTAAACTGAATGTTGCCGAGTGCCTAGAAAAGCTTGGTGAAATTAGTCGCGAGAAAGAAGATTATGACCAAGCAGTATTAGACTTAAAGGTCTTTCTTTTGTCCATTCTTATTTATCCTTTAACTTGAACAAAACATACTGCATAGGTTCCGTTATCAGGATATGTCCATAGATAATTGGTCTGTCGAGTCAACGATTTTTGGTTTGGGATTCGTTTAATTGAGTTTCGTTAAGTAATAATAGCCCTTATTTGATCTTCGTTGTCCATTTCTAGTGATTACTTACGTTATTTGTACTCTTGGGTCATGGACTGATTATTTTACGTCCATCGATTTGTAAAGAAGCGGAATTTTTGGCGGTATGAAGTATAATTGGGTTTGTCAGGGACTATCGTTTGTATCTTAAATACCAAGTTTTTAGAAAACTAATAATGGTTGTATGACAAGCGCTAATCAACCTACATATAGCTTCATTCATGTCAGTAATTCATTTACAGTGCGTAGGATTCCAAGTGCTTGTCGTTAAGTTAACACTTGTTTGCCATAGCACTGCGATATAACTACTATAAATTATGAGGATATCTCAAACGTGTCCATGTGTATTTTGGCTTCCTAGGCATCACTTTACTTGTACCTTGCGTGATTCTGGTGTGTTTGCAGCCTAGTTTACCATCTTGTAAACCAATAGAAGGTTGAATTTACAAATGTTCTTATTCTATACTATCAATCGTTCATCTGGTTTCAGTTATCGGTTTGTTATGTATCTGGTTGTATTTCAGACTTGGTACTGTGTTAACACATCAGTATGTATAATTTCAACCCATTGATGTCGACCAGTTAAATATACTCATTTCAAAGGTGCTTATTCCAAAATGTGTCTACTACAGCGGCGAAGTGATAATTGTTTAGTGTGAAGATTGTCGAGCTCTACCAACTTGACCACTAGTTCATTCAGGTTCCATCGTGGCATTTATGTTTAGTAGTGGATTCTTGTGAAAAGCAACAAATAACAAACCTAAAGATTGGTATTTTAAGCTATTGAGGTGTGGCAACTGACATGACTTTGACACAATGAAGGTCAATAACTTATCTAAACATCCAAGCTGTAAACTAGGTTGTGTTCATGGGATCATTATTTCCAGTTAAAGACCTCGAAAGTGTCTAAAAAGTTACTGATCCACAGCAAATTTGAAGTTCCTAAGTGTTTCGGGCCATTTCCTCCCCTAAAAAGTTTTAATAAGATTAATCTCTTGAGTCTAGGACTGTTAGTTTTGAATATAAAGCAGAAATATAGTTGGCCGACAATGCAGCAAGTAGAAATGAAGTAATCTGAATGTAACATGACGGTTTTGAACTGTGATTTTTATCCAAATTACATTACTCTGATTCCTCTATTTTTCCATAGGAATGTTTGGAAATCCGTACTTCCATTTTGGGTCAAAAAGATCGTCGTGTAGCTGAAAGCCATTACCAACTGGGAACGACGTATGCCGTTTCTGGAGATTTAGCAAACGCAAGCAGCTCTTTCAAAGCCTCAGTTGAGTGTCTCAAGTTGTTGGCTGAAGATATCAGGTCAAAAATCGAAGCTGTTGACCAGAAAGATGGAGAAGAGAAAGAGCTTCTCCAAGTTACACTTAAAGAGATAGAACTTTTAATACCAGACGTTCAGAGTCGGTGTGCGGATATTGAGGAAGATCGATTAGCTGAAAGCATTAAACAAACCGAGTCTCCAATGGAACCATGCTCTAATGGTACTAGTGTCCCAACTGATGACATATCACACTTGATAAGGAAAAAACGTCCTGTTACTGAAACGACACCTGTGGAATCTGTAGAAAGTATAAGTCTTGAATTAAATGGTCATGAAAACTCAACTTCCAAGAAAGTGAAGCTCATAAATGCGAATGGTGAATCCCTGCCTAAAGAAAATGGTGTTTAGTTAATTGATATGTGCCTATAGATTAAAAACCGATTCCAAAGAATTGCATTTCATTTTTACAGATTTTGTCAGAAATTTTTGTCTATCGTTTTTAAATAAGTTATCTGCAGATTACTTATTCCAAAAATAAAGTTCATGTATTCCCTTTGATGTATTATCTTTCTACCAAGCTAAACGAGTTGGTTGAAAATTTTTTAAAGTTATAGGTATAAACCGAGCAGACGAATTTATAACCGATTGTCACGTTTCGTCATCCCCCTTTTTCCATACAAACTACCTTCCTCAACCAATTAATGTCTTAAGAACTGTTGCTTTCTGTTAATAGTGTAAAGCGTAGGAAGGAATCCCAAAATCCGAAGGACATGTTAGGACTTTATGATAATCTGATCCAACTTCAAAGTTTGGCAGATCACAGCAAACTAACTCCGGAGATTGAGATGTCTGTCGGGTCCGCATTCCAAATCAAATTGGACAGTCTCAGTACTGAAGTTTTAGGTGCCTAAGTCTATACGATCAAATGCTGTGGCGAAAGTAGCTCGAGCCAGCTGTATATTAGCGATTTCGTAAGCCACTTTGGTTGTGGTTCTCACTACTGATTGTTCAACTCGGCCTCGTTTGAAGTAGGGATATATTTTGCACCTCAATCAAAGACAGTAAAGTATTTGGAGTCAATTCAAAAACGGGCCTCAAGGCTATTTCGTCAACTAGGGTTCAAATCTTACGAGCGACCACGGGGGTCACCATACATTCCTTGTAGTTACAGCACTATAAGGACATCTGAGTATCTGAACTACTTGGGTTAAGTTTTGGTGAAAGCCATGGAAGCGATACCCGTAAGTTTGGAGTGACAGTTTACAACCGGGAGTTTTTTCTGATTGCACATGCGAGCCCTTACTCGTGTTTCCGCCAAATGTAAATCTAATCTGGCTAAGTATTGTAGTCATTAGAAGGGGAGATCGTTGGACGGTAGTGAACTACTAGAGGATCTGATGAACGTGTTGGCAGATACAGACAACATGAAGTTGAAGAGAACCAATAAACTATTCTGCAGGACATAAAGATCAATATACACATTTTATTTATTTATTTATTTATTTGAACACATAAATATTGGTACAATAGAGCGCCAATATATATGCGCCACACAAAACAATGGGAATTCGAAGAGAAGTAGAAAGAAGAAAGAAAAAAAACAACTAAGGAACGCAAAAGAAAAAGAGAACAATGACGAAGAGATTGGATTAAGGTAGTGTGGTAGTAACGACGGAACGAAAAGGTACAATCAGAAGAAATCTTTCAGGTAAAGGAGACACAACCACTTTTTATGAAGAAAGTAAAAGAAGGTTACAGCAGGATAGCCACTGGCTTCTATTCTGAGCCATATCTGATAACGTCTCTAGCCACTGTGTAGCACCATCTCTCGGACCCCAACCAGGGAGTCGTGAAGGACCAACACAAGCCAGTCGTTTGCAGCTTTCTTTCATCCCACGACACCATGTCATGCACTGACCACCTCTCCGCTTCTTCCAACCAGTCCCAGAGTCGGCAAATAATGCACGACATGGAATTCTCTGGGACGACATTCAGAGAACATGTCCAAGCCACCGAAGTCGGTGTTTCAAGATGGTGACACCAATTGAGTTATCATCTCTGTGCCCGAACACACGATGCCGAACCTCTGCATTACTGACATGGTGTTGCCACTGAATGTCAGCAATCCTTCGGAGACAGTGATGATCGAACACAGAGAGTCGTCTAACGTCCTCAGCTCGGAGAGACCAGGTTTCACAAGCACAGAGCAGAACTGCTCTCACCGACGCGTTGTAGATCCGACCTTTTACAGCCAGACTAACATCACGAAGGCGCCAAAGGTGGCCCAGATTGGCATAAGCCACTCTGGCTTTCACTATTGGTGCATTGATCTCATCATTCACACCCCCACCAGCACTTATGCAGCTACCCAGATACACGAACTTCTCAACTACGTCTATCTGCTCACCATCCAGGGTGAGGACAGGATTAGAATCCTGCCAGTCTTGTAGAAGTACTTTGCACTTCGAAGGTGCAAAGCACATACCATACCTACGGACACTGATTGCCAACTGATTAAGTGCGGATTGCATGCCTTGGGCATTATCGCACAGTAAGACAATATCGTCCGCATACTCAAGGTCGAGAAGTCTTTCTCCAGGCAACAGATCCACACCACCATTACTTACATCCATCACAGCTGTTTCCAGAATGTCATCGATGGCAAAGTTGAAGAGGAATGGTGAGATTGGGCAACCCTGCCTAACCCCACTACTCGAATGGAACAATGGAGAGAGGTGGTTGTATGGCCTCACTCTGCCTGAGGTGTTTTTATACAGGGCTTTTAGGATGTTAATAAACTTCTCAGGCACGCCCTTCTTCAATAGACAATCCCAGAGAACAGTCCTATCCAATGAATCGAAGGCAGCCCTGATGTCAATCAGCACTACGATTGTTGGCCTTTGATAAGTATGGCGGTGTTCTAACATTTGGCGAAGGGTGAAGATATGATCAATACATCCTCGACCAATATACACAAGGCTAATATGAACACCTATCTCGGTAACCGAGTTTCCTATTCACCTAAAAGTCACGTCCTATTCTGAATAGATGTTGGATTATTTAAAGCTTCAGTTGTTACAATCGTGCATGTATTACGCGAAAAACTTTGGGAGTGATATCCATATTTCAGGAAGATATTACATGAGCCCTGCTACAAATCTGTCGCGTTTATGGACCTTTCAAGAAGCTTGTTAATCATTAATAAGGCGTTGTATAAATAATATAAAAGGAGATACTTGGAAGTACATGATATTAACATTTAAATTTAATTGATTCTTATTACATTTCAAAAAGGTTAGGTTGGTATGACCAAGTGTTTTGTATTTGATTAAGATAATCCATTTATCAGTTCAAGAAATTAACAAGTATCATTTGTTATTCCGAGCGACTATTGCTTTTTCCTTTAAAAATTATTTATTTTAGACTCTTCACTACATAATATTTATTTCACTGGCAACATCCTACCTTATTCTGTAGTTTCACAACACTAAGCAAGTTACCCATCACTGCAGTGAAAAGCCATTACGTAATTTATTTTTGAACAAATACTTCAAGGTTACAATTGAGACTACACATTATTTTACATAAAATGATAGGAAATTCCCAGGTTAGGTATTTCTACCTATAGATCATACTTTTTATCCTACTCTAATCTTATCACAAATAAATAGCTGGTTTAACTCCCTAAACAAGATGTTGTGATGAGTTAAATTAACGGTTGAATTTGTCACGTCCTGTTATAAATTTAAGTAATACTTATTAATTTCACATGATATCTATTCCCTAACTCCTCATACACTTTTTTTTCCTCTATTGCCTAGTAATATTCTTTTTTAGTAGAAATAGATTTTGCTAATTCTGTAAGCTTAATTTTAGAAGTATTATGTCTGCAGAATAACTGTCTACTTGTTACCAACGTATAGTAAGTCTAGCTCATAATACTGACTATATATTGGTTATATTATGTACATGATGAAATAATTAATTTGATGAAACCACCGATTTAACTTAAATATTCGAAATGGTAATTTTTCAACTACTGGGAAATAGGATTGGATATATTACAACTCAATTAACAATGCTGATTATACACAAAATCATCAGTCAAAATGTCTCTAATCCGATTACGAATGATTAATCATCATAATAATTGAAGGTTCTAAATTAGCCAATCATACATCTCAGTCTACTGTATCATTTGTGACTGTATTTATTGCGAAGTAACCTAAAAAATTCATTTGTTTTCTCATTTAGTTCACATAAATTACTAAAAAGAGTTGCCAGGTGATTGATTCCAACCAGTAGGAAGCTTCGTATTTCGGTTTCATGTTGATCGGCAAGACATGTCTCTAATCCTCCGGAATTCGGTGTTCCCAGTGGGATAAAGTCTGAGTTATCCATTAGGATTATCAATCTCCTCGGCAATGAAGTGATGCCGTAGTAATGAGTGCCAGCTAGTAGGAAATCTCAGCCAGTCAGCTACAACGTAGGACCAGGCACATGTGTGCATCGGTCCAAGTTGCCACACCTCATTAGCACAGCAAGATGAACAATGGATTCATAGAAGTAATTAATTTAGTAGTGGTAATATATAAAAGAAAGAGTGCAATAAGGATATAGTACAGGAAGAAATAATTAGTTCGTAGAAAGAAAGATATGAAATAATTTTAATCTTATAGTTTAAGGGAAGACAGAGTGTGCATACACCTACGCCATTGTGATCGATTCTGAGCCATGTCACCCAGAGTCTCCAACAATTGGTTACGATAGTCATGAGGACCTCAAACAAGTAGTCTTCATCTACCAATATGGCTTAGACTAGAAGTTAGTGACTTCAAGCACTATTGCCAGGTTTTGGTTTGGCCGCCCCTAACTTTCTTCTATCCGTCTTCAACACTAGTCAGCATGGTGGGTTGTGGTACTCGGGGTTTAGGCATACGTAACACGTGGCCCAACCATCTCAGTCGATGAGGATTCACAACTTCATCAACTGATTTACCATCATTCCCTAATACCCTACGTCTAAGTGATCAACAAAAAGTTCAGTTACCAATATAGAATACACGAACTATGTCAGTACTATATTAATCAATGTGAAAGTCCGATTGTTTGCTAACCAGCATATTTACATTTATAAAGTGAATACTTTAATAAACATAATACTGTTCATCACAGTTGGTGTTGATAATAATAACAAATGTATTCATACTTTATAATAAATGAACTAGCTACCTAAGTAATAATAATCAGTGGAATTATTTCAGATTTTAGGATACTCCAAAAGAAAAAACTTTTGACAATATCTTATTGTATATTGATGTTATCAGTTCATTAAATAGAAGAAGTATTTATATATTTGGAATCTACAACAAAATTTCTAGTAAATATATACCCAGTGAAAAGTGAGTAGTGATTTTCTTTCCTAGTTTGCAAATTTTCACCAATGCTCACCTAAAATCCTATACAGAATCATACTAAACTATTATGAATTAATATTATTTACGCTGAAATTGTATACATTTCCTACACTAATCATCTTAGTAAACATTAATTGCTATGTATCACAGTAATAATACCTCTTTAGATTTTCACTTATTCCTCAAACTAGTTTATTGAAAAACCAATTAAGTACAATATATACATATTTCGATTGTTACATGGAATGAATGTTTATTTCACAGTACATTATGGATTTACATCTTATATCCGGTTAGTAATATAATGAAATATTCGATTATTAATAATAGCTACTTATAATATTCGAAATTGATGTAAACTATTCATTCAACCTATACACCCCTTTGTTGTTGTTGGTGTGCATAACACTCGTTAGATATTAAAATACTACATATCTAGAATTAGTTCCTTGAAAAAAACACTTATAAAAGAGTCATAGACAGATGTATTTAATATTGGTATACAACTATTATAGTTATTCATTATTAAGTTGTGATAAAATGAAGAGATTATTCCAAAATTTGTTATTATGCATATTATACTGTATGTATTTAAATTTCTGTTATGCTGATTCACATGGTGAAAAATTGAGTAAATCTGAGTTTGATATATGTGTTCAAGAATGTGGTAATCAATATGAAGAATGTTCTAAAGCAATACGTGAATTATGGAGAAATTTTCAAAAAAATAAAAAACAAATTATGAAAGTTATGAATAGTTGTTGTTTACGTGGTCAAGGTGATCATTCACAACCATCAACATTAAGTTTTGCTACATGTGTACGTGATAGATGTGGTGCAGAATTATGGGGGTAAGTGATTAAAATGATTCTTTTTTCCATATTTTACAAACATGTTCAAATAAAGGAATCAATTTTATTGGTTTCATTATATGTTATAGTCTATTACACATTGTTATTCACTTGTAATGCTATAATCAATTTATCTCTTCTTATTCAAGTTTACTTATATGATCCACTTATAAAATAGATTTCTTTCACTCAGTTAGTGTCTATTTCAGTAACATTTTCATCATCATTTGACTTTAATAGTAAAATTAATGTGGTTAAATGAAATTTATATTGGTGCTATAAATGTTTATAATAGCTGTCGATGAAAGTAATACAAGCTACATTAAAAAGTATGCCATAGTCTTAATCTAGAGCAGTGTTATTATTTTTTAATAGTTTTGGGGAAGGAAGTTTTAATAAATTGCTTCTAAAATCAAAGTATACTGTTTCATATAGGTAATCTTGGTATCCATAAGAATCAGATTGTTCAAAAAATTAATAGAAACACAGATATACTAAATAAGATTATTATTTTCTTTTTAGCAATGTAAGAGTGTTTATCAAAACTAAGTGTTTAGTTATGAATAAAAGTATATTCTAATGTTATGCTTTAAACGTATGTAGGTTTTCTTTTTAATGTAAGTGAATGGAATATCAAGGCAGCCGCTCCATCATACACTAATAATTTCAGTCATGGTTATGAATAAAGTAGAAGTTCGCACTCTTATAATTTATGAGTCCTCAAAAGGATGAAATGATTTTCAGCATTATTATGTTACATTATGGAGGCATGACTTCGTTATTATAGTATTTGTAACATCAAGCGTTTTGTTAGAATTTCATTCTCTGAGTTGGGTGGTCTAATTCTGAAATAATCGTTTCTTTCTGAACGATGATGTCAGCACAAATGTCAAATAGAAAGCATATGACTGTTTACATGGAACCAATAAGAAATAAGGGAATAATCCGCTGCTTATACGAAAGCTATAGTAGTCATTATGAAGTAAGAATATAGGAGAGCTCATAATTAGTATTGTTTTATTGTGACTAATATCTATTAGATATATTCATAGAACGCGTAAATTTATGTGAGAAATTTAGATAAACTATTTTAAAATGTTTCTTATTCATTTCAATAAATTTTGAATTCATTGCCATTTATTATCTGCATATTTACGCGTAATGATAATTGTAAGAAGAAACATTTAGCCTGAATAAAAATTAATTTTATGAACAATCTAGTTTAATAAATATCAGCCACTCACTAGTAACTTCTCTTGCTAAGAAATTTCTAAACTTTATGGTTCAAAATAACGAGTTATGGCTTTAAACAAGGAAAACTTATCGGGTATTGGTGACCATCGATGATACTAGATGATAATCTTTCTCTATCACAAATAGATAGATTGGAAAGTGATGACTGTTCAGTAGCTATCCGATGATGTCTTTATAGAGAGATAAGAATATAATTTGGTTACAACTTTGTGTCAGGTTAAGCTGTTGATAAGGTTCAAGTCAGGATAAAAGCAACTGGCTAACATATCATACTTTTTGTATTATTCTTGTTGATTTCTGTCTGTTTATATCCTGATACTACTAATATCTTAAGGTGCTAACTTTTATATTAAAACCAGATATCTTGATGATAGCCTGAATATTAGTTCCAATTAATACAATCCTGAAAGGCGACAAATATTAAAAACGGAATGTTTCGATACAGAAAACTGATCAAGTTAATTATGTAATAAGTAGTCTGTATGGCTAAAAAGTCTTTGAGATACAATCAGTCTTTAATTATGTTACTTTCAGAAATGAACGACTTCAAAAACTTAATCAGTAGCCAAAGTCTGCTTTCTTACCATAATAAATATCTGAATCATATTTTTTAAGTTTAAAACCATTTGAAGATTTCCACTATTTCATGAACAAGGTTTGGTTGGATTTATATAGTGGTTTAAATACTTCGTTTGTTCTAATTTTTCAAAGTATAGAAAATGTTGTATCATAACAAAACTTTTTGAATGTTTTACTCCACCAGTGAATTAGTGAAAAAGTCAATCATTAGATTATAATGACTGCAGAACATAGATAAGTGAAACTATTCATTTCGAACACAGTTATCTTAGATTTTTACTTAGTTACTAGTATTTTAAATAATTTAATAAATTGTTCAGTGAATAAGCGAATCTTGATACGATTGATATAAACACCTTGGGTACTGGCTAAGAGTAAAATCTTTATTGAGGCTCAATAATTATACATATCTACATCTTGATCTTGTCCTCACTTGAAAAACAAATCCAGTAAACATCAACTGAAATTCTAGTGTGCTATTCATTGGATTATTAAGTCAGCAAGCTATCAATTGTTCAATGAGCATGATATATTTACATATTATTCATTAAAAGCTGTCCATTATTCTATTGTGGATGTTCAAAAGTTTAATAGTGAATTTCCTCTTATAAAACCGGGTAATATATCAAGCAGCCAATTTATCAACAAAGATTGACTACATAGATTCTGAATGTAAGCTAATGATAATCATAATCATAAAAATTATAAATAATCTATTACTATTCTATAAAAATGAATAAATGGATAGATAAATGGAAGCAACTTTTGTGAAACCATGAGAAATATACATCATTATTCAAAGCGTATAGCAAAAACACATGTCATTTCTTGTTTCATTAGATATTGCTCTGACAGAGTGTATTCATAACTCCACATATGGTCAAATTTCGAACCGACAGGTTTCTCAGCCAGAACGTTACCTTTATATCAGTGAGTTAGGAAACAATAGCTTACTTTTTCAACTTCAATTAATTCGCGATAGTGTAAGACAATCATCTAATGATATTAGTGATATATATCTCATGGTTGGATTCAAGTTTCCTGATTTTAAAGGGTCCCCTTGTCTGCAATGAAATTTATCTTCAAGTAACAATTCTGGATGCCTCACAGAGCAGACAGAAAAAAATTGATATTTTAACTACACAAAAATATCTCTTAAGGTAGTAAGTCTAAACTTATATAGTTCTTGAGAAAGTGTCCAGGCATACTTTCGATAAATAAGTGGGAGGATTCTGGTTAGGAAATGAGCTGAAACTCTCTATGGTATGGATCTACAAATGTTACAATGATACTTTGAATTGTGATATTCATGTCATGGATAAGCTTGTTGTTCATCGTTAGCATGAAGACAAAAATTAGTCGAAACTATGAATTTGGATACAAAATCTCAACTTAGTGGTCAGAATATGTTGTGCTTGCTACAAGACCCAATAGTTGCAGGTTCAATACTCCGTAGTGTTATGGGCGATAAATTATAATTATGATAAATAATACCTCAAAACGATTGTTTGATAACATAATTTTGAAAAAATCAGATTACATTCTGATATGAAGGCCTTACTGAGATCAGCTTGATTTGTCGCTGACTGACCTTAAATAAGATACAATTGAAAACCATGAAGTACTAGATAGTCGTTTCGTCGTAGTATGGTGTTCCTCAATAGTGCACACCCATAACCTGAATAGAACGAGAAACCAACTATTAGATTGGCATCCTGTGGTAAACATTCCAAACCATGATTAATTTGTAATATATTGGACCATCTAATAGCATTAGTGAAGACTCCACTCTCGATATCTCCAATCTACAGAGGTCAGGACTTTATGCTAGAACTTCACTGACTCATCCCAAAGTAAGTCGTTGGACAGCTTACGAATATCTTATTGATGTAAAAATTCCTTGGGAACTAATTTAATTCGTAAGTATTAAGGTTGGACCGACGATAATAGATTAATAATAATTCCTAGTTTTTAATAGTAACTAGACTATGCTTAATGGGTGACGAGTACTACTTAAAGAATAAAGAAAAACTAACCAAATCCAATTCTTTATCTCTCTCAAATAACGATTGTACAAGATTTCAGAATATAATATTTTTACTACTATTTCGTCATCTCTTTTCGATAGGTGTAACATTAAGAAACGTCATAGTGGTTTTCTAACTGAACAAGAAATTGAATATATCAAACAAAAAGAATCCCGCCAAAAAAAGAAAAATTTCACAGTAAAGTGAAAGAATTCTCAAATAGAAAAAAAGCAATATATAATGACTTTCAGTTAATAAACACATTCTAATTGTAACTGTAATATTTCTATTTTTCAATTACAATATTATTTGATGCATAAATTCACAGAAAATATGTATTTACTTTTGCATTAAATGAAAATAGAAAACTGTTATCATTTCTATTTTTTACTAACCGTTAATTTCGCCTATTTTCTTGTTAGTTACATGTAAGTGTTTCGTCACGAAAGCGTTGTGAATAGCCCATTTCAATCAACATATTATGTATGACCAGAAACTAGAAGAATTAGAGTCAAAAATCCAAGTCTTTGTTTTCATAAGAAATTTATAACGTCTTTATCTCTGCCTTGGCCTTAATAAACGATTTTATTTCTATTTTTACGGCAAGAATATAATTTATAGACGAACGAATCAGATTTAGGATAACATGTCTTGGATTTTGGCGCGAAATTCAGTCACCCATTCGTCTGAATAGTGTCTTGGTATTTTAGTTTATGTCAGTTCGTGATAAAAACCATAAACGTAATTCTTAACTTTAATCAGCAACTGTAAATCATTGTCTCTCTTCTACAACTGTTTTAAAACCTTCATTTAGCCCCATTAAGTAGGTAGACACTCTCAAGGTCCCTTTGGCGTCACTCAAAGGTCGTCTATAAATTATAGTCTCACCGAATTTTCTAGCGCAATGTAAAATGTTGAATATATAACTTTATCTAAATTATCAGATAATACTATCTATACATATGTCGAATTCATTATCTAAAACCTAGTAATGGGGATTATGGAAAAAATATTTATGTATTATTAGTTTGAGTTTGTAATATACTTATTTATTTATTTGAACACATAAATATTGGTACAAGAGAGCTCCAATATATATGCGCCACACAAAACAATGAGAATTCGAATAGAAAGAAAATAAAGGTAAGGAGCGCAAAAAAAAGAGAGCGAAGAGGCTGGTGTAAGGTAGTGTAGTAATAGTAATAGTAATAATGAGGGAACGGAAAGGTACATTCAGAAGAAATCATTCAGTTAAGGAAGACACAACCACATTTTATGAAGAAAGTAAAAGAAGGTTACAGCAGGATAGCCACCGGATTCTATTTTGAGCCATATCTGATAACGTCTCTAGCCACTGTGTAGCACCATCTCTAGGACCCCAACCAGGGTGTCGTGAAGGACTAACAGAAGCCAGTCCTTTACAGCTTTCCTTCATACCACGACACCATGTCATGCACTGACCACCTCTCCGCTTCTTCCAACCAGTCCCAGAGTCGGCAAATAATGCACGACGTGGAATTCTCTGGGACGACATTCATAGAACATATCCAAACCACCGAAGTCGGTGTTTCAAGATGGTGACACCAATTGAATTATCATCTCTGTGTCCGAACACACGATGCCGAACCTCTACATTACTGAAATGGTGTTGCCACTGAATGTCAGCAATCCTTCGGAGACAGCGATGATCGAACACAGAGAGTCGTCTAAAATCCTCAACTCGGAGGGGCCAGGTTTCACAAGCATAGAGCAGAACTGCCCTCACCGACGCGTCGTAGATCCGACCTTTTACAGCCAAACTGACACCACGAAGGCGCCAAAGATGACCCAGATTGGCAAAAGCCACTCTGGCTTTCACCATACATGCATTGATCTCATCACTCACACCTCCACCAGCACTTATGCAGCTACCCAGACACACGAACTTCTCGACAACTTCTATCTGCTCACCATCCAGAGTGAGTACAGGATTAGCATCTTGCCAGTCTTGTAGAAGTACTTTGCACTTCGAAGGTGCAAAGCACATACCATACCTACGGACACTGATTGCCAACTGATTAAGTGCGGATTGCATGCCTTGGGCATTATCTCACAGTAAGACAATATCATCAGCATACTCAAGGTCGAGAAGTCTTTCTCCAGGCAACAGATCCACACCACCATTACTTACATCCATCACAGCTGTTTCCAGAATGTCATCGATGGCAAAGTTGAAGAGGAATGGTGAGATTGGGCAACCCTGTCTAACCCCACTGCTTGAATGGAACAATGGAGAGAGGTGGTTGTATGCTCTCACTCTGCCTGAGGTGTTTGTATATAGGGTTTTTAGGATGTTAATAAACTTCTCAGGCACACCCTTCCTCAATAGACAATCCCAGTGAACAGTCCTATCCAACGAATCGAAGGCAGCCCTGATGTCAATCAGCACTACGATTGTTGGCCTGTGATAAGTATGACGGTGTTCTAACATTTGGCGAAGGGTGAAGATATGATCAATACATCCTCGACCCGAACGAAACCCAGCCTGCTCCTCGCGAGTCAATCTTTCTCGGGTTTTGAACAACCTACGAAGTATGACGGAAGCCAATAGCTTGGACGCAATCGCAAGTAGACTTATCCCCGATAGTTGTTACAGGAACGACGTGAACCCTTTTTAAAGATAGGGACAACTATCGACTCATTCCATGACGTTGGTACACTCTCTAGTTCCCAGACCTTTGTAAACAACGTCGTCAATTCCTTAGTCAAAAAGTCACCACCATCTTTAAAAAGAGCCGGAGGTAAGTCATCTGGGCCAGGTGATTTGTTACGCTTCAAGAGTTGGAGTTCCTTGCGCACTTCCTCCTCGTTTGGTGGATCAGTGGTCACCGGCCATGGAGGGCAGGACAGTCTGACCGATGTTGCCGGAGCAGCAGGCCAGTTGAACTCCCCTTCGAAAAATTCTGCCCATCGTCCAAGACGTCGATGGATGTTGGTGATTGGCATCCCGTCATCCTCACAGATTGTTTCGCTAACACCAGACTTCTTGCTGCTAGTGGCTCGGATGAGTTGGAAGAGCTTCCGGCAGTTACCAGATGCAGCTACTGCTTTCAGTTCATTAGCACGCTCCGACCACCAGGCTTCTCGGTCCTTGCGCAAGCTTTGCCCGATTTCATTACGTAACAGTCGTCGTTTGTGGTCAAACGCACAGTCACCCGAGTAGACCGACGGGCTTCGATTAGTTGTAAGGAGCCTGAAGAAACCCAGTGATTATAAGCGGGACGTTTCGCGAACTCACAAATGACTTTTTTCGCCATTTTCATGGCGTCATGCAATTGCAACCAATGCTCATCTATACTTTTCGGTGGAACGGTAGCTAGCCTAGCAGCTAGCTCTGTTCGATACGTACTTGCAACAGAAATGCAAAAAAATTGCTGACATCAATCCTTTGGTGACGATCATTTCGTTGTCCACTGAAAAGTAAGGTAAGATTGGCGCAGACCAAGGCATGGTCAGAGTCCAGATAGGTACTCCGAAAGGAGCGGCTGTCTTGTACACAACCATGCCAGCGGTAGCTGATCGCGATGTGATCAATCTGAGTCCAGGCTTGGGATGCAGAAGGAGAACGCCAGGTGGCACATCGGCGATGACTGTGCCGAAAGTTAGTGCTAACCAGAAACAGGTTGTGGTCTGTGCACAGTTGCAGTAGACGGTCCCCGTTATCTGACCTGCGACCAACAAGTTCTCATCGGCCACCTAAACGACTCTCTTCTGTGCCTAGACGCCCGACCTGAGCATTCAAGTCTCCGGCTCGTACTACAATATCTGTCGAACGCACTTTCTGGAGAAGAACAGATAACTGGTGGTAAAACTCATCCTTGATTGCATCCGCGCTGCAATCTGTCAGGGCATGTAATATACTTAAGAAAAGTACGTCTAAATTTAAGCTACGATTGGATTCTGTCAACAGGAAATCAGTAAAATTGGAATTTCACAAAGGTTGTTTAATAAATATACTAATTATCAATTAAAACAATTTCAAGATGGTGATTGAAAATGGTATAGTAATCTGAAGTGTTTAATCAAATCACGTTCATCCACTAATACAATATGACAAATGTGTTCAGTTAAATAATATACTAGAAAATTGTATTCATTATAAGATGACTGAAGATAGCTATCATAAAGCTATACGCCTTAACTAACTAATCATTGATAACATTTAGTGACAACTCTTTTAAACTCATGGAGTTCAATGGTTTTAGTGTATAGCTAGCAGCTCCAACGCTTAATGAGGGAACAACGTATAATTATTTCTTAGTTTGAGTTCACAGTATGATTTGTAAGGTTTGAAATTCACGGTTTACAGACTTCAAAAAAAACTTTAACCATTGTTTATTATTAATCTGTAACAACAAGTAAACGCTTGTTTTTTTTATAAAAAAAGAAACATGCTACAATCAACAAAGTGCTACAAAGTGAACTATCTGTTTTATTCTAAAACTACTTGCGAAACGTATATTACAAGAAAAGAACAACAAATGTTACTTTTATCATTAGTTTTATCTAAATAATTATGAAAATAAGCAAACATTTGAAAAAAATGTAAACACACATTTATTTATACAGAATAGGCAGGAAATACAATCAGAATCAATTGTATGATAAGTTCTTTGAAGTCATTGGAATATTCCATTTCAGTCACTTTTCGTAGACTGATTACATATTACTACAACTGAAAGAAGAAGTGTACAATTACAAACTTATTTCTCTTCAAACAAAATAATGCTAAACATGGAATCGATAGAAAGAAGGTATAGTGTTTAATAGATGATTCGTGAAGACGTTATAATATTAGTACTATAACACATATTTAATTAGCCCATCGATCGATCGAGAAGCAGATGGGACCAGAAAAAGCGTGTATTATGAGAAAAGTACAAAGAGTAGACGTTAATATCACAATATAGATATGTACTATATCAAATATGTTTGTCTGTACTAATTGGTCAACTACAAGCTAATCAGGATGGACAAAATAAAAAAAATTTGTTCAAACTGAAGATAATGGTTCTTGTTTTTAAACTGATATCAACTAAAGAAACATTGTTAATCATGATTGTTATGAATCAAGTAGTTTCATACTATGAACCGATCAATCTTCTATATTTAATTAAAAGTTTGTTTTAATCTGCTTACTTAATAATTAATGCTAAATAGTGTAAAAAATCTCATTCTAAAAGTTGGTTGGCAAAACAAGTAACTTATGGTTTATTAAATTATACAAATGCAGATGTAATTAACACAGGAATAGAGTTAAAGATGACATAGATCTACAACTATTAGTAATAAATATCAAGTACTTAAACCCTTTTATTACTTCTGATTTTACATATTATAACACTGAGATAGTATTTTCACATCGAAATAGTTTTCCCTATTGTCATACGAATTCGTTAGACAAAAAAATTATAATGCACGTTTACGGTTAAGATTATTTATATATGTGCATTCTAGAGCTCTGCCTGTAGCCATTCAAAGGATACTGCGGGTTTTAGGCCTAGATAAAAGAGCATGAAGTTAGCAACCCCATCCCATATAAGAAAAATTTGCTAAAAATATGTTAAAAAGAAAACAATCAAACCATTTAAAATAAGCCTTGGGAGTTGGAGAATCTTCATTTAGAATAATGAAGCCTCATAGTGAAAGCCGAGATTCTTCGGAAATCACGAGGCCGATGCCACTTCTGACGATTACAGAATATACCAATATAGGTATATGGAATGTCCGAACAACATAGAAGATTGAGGGAACCAACCAAATAGCTACGGAAATGAGGATATACAAATTGGCTTCTGTAAAGATACTACTGTACTTTGGTCATGAAGAGAACGCCTCACATACATAAGAAGTTGCGCTGACACTATCCAAAGAAGTACGAAAAGTACTTAAAGGATGGTAATCTCGTGGATTTGGAAACTTCAAAGCATTCTTCAAAACAAACAAGGACGGGATCACAACGAATTTCACGTAGCGATATGCACTCACCAGTGATGAACATGAAAACGATAAAAATGGGAGGGTGCAATCGATCAAAGAGAAGTGCCCAGGAAAAGACATGTCTATCCGATGGGAGATCTAAACATCAAAGTTGGGATGGATAACAACGAGTATGAAGATGTCATGGGACGATATAGAGTGTGAGAAAGCAATGAGAATGTTGATATATATGTAAATTTATATGCCTTCGACAAATTGTTATGAAAAACACTATCTTCCCTCACAAATTCGCACATACATTTACATCGGTTCCACCGAATCACACTACAAGGAACCAGATAGACTACATTTGCATGAATAGAAACTTCAGAGGACCCATGGAGGACGTTAGGACAAGAAGAGGAGCAGAAGCAACTTCAGATCACCACCTGGTTGTGGGCAAGATTGAACTTAAACTAAAGAAGTAATGGACAACTGGACAAACAGCATTGCAAAAGTTTAATACAGTCTTCCTTCCAGATACTGACAAAGTCAATGAACTCAAGATAGCTCCCTGCAACAAGCTCTGAGTTTATAAGACCTACTCAAAGAAGAGGAAATTACTATAGAGAATAAGTGGAAGCGGACTAAACAAGCAATAACTTCAATTTGTCAGGAGGTTCTGTGTCGCAAGAAGCATCATCATAAGGAATGGATCTCTACCAAAACCTTGAACAGCATTCAAGAAAGGAAGAACAAAAAACAGCAATTAACGACAACCGAACAAGAACAGAGAAAGTCATGCACAAACCGAATTTACAGAGGCAAACAAGAGAGTGAAGAGGAGCATCAGACTCGACAAGCGGAAATACATGTTAAACCTAGGGATGACAGAGGAAAAGGCTGCAAGAGAAGGAAATATGGGACATCTATACGGTACAACGAAAAACCCGGAAGGGAAATACAGCAAACTAGGGCGACCAGTTAGGAATAAAGAAAGCGAGTGTTATGATTTATCCCCCTGTCAACCATTACGTGACAAGATCGTTGATCAAAATACCGGCTTCTGTGAATTTTTCCCTGTGTTATACCAATGATACGTCACCCAGCACTAGCACCGTTGATTCAACTGTGAATCTTTATTGATCCTCAATATAATAGTCTCTCGCCTAGCCTTGCCCGTTGAGTCCAGAACACAACGTCCACCTCCACTCTGTGAATAATATATTTCAAACATACTTAGTTTACATGCAAGCAGGTCAGACCGCATCACACTATACAAAAATAAGACTGTGAATAAATTAAGAGTGGTAAATCGTATAATAGTAGATAATGAGTCAAATAAAAAGTTGTGGTAAAGGGAATATATATACCAGCTAAGGCATCGAAGTTACACATAGAAGTAACTGCAAAGATACTCCACATTTTATTCAGGTGGATTTGGGAAATAGAACAAGTGTCTACAGCCTGGTAAGAAGGATACCTCATCAATATACCAAAGAAAGGTCTCAGCAACTGTGAGAAATACAGAAGCATCACATCACTAATAGTACCGGGGAAAAGTTCTCAACAGTGTTGTTGAACTGAATGAAAGATTAAGTAGACACCCAACTTCGTGATCGACAGGCTGACTTCCGTTAGGACTGATCGTGTACGGACCAAATAGCGACACTAAGGATCATTGTTGAGCAATCAGCTGAATGTAATTCCTCACAACACATCAAATCCCTTGATCATGAAAAGGTGTTCGACAGTGTGGATAGGAGAACATTATGAAACGTTTTTGGACATGATGGTGTACCTGACAAGACTGTCACAATCATACGGATTTTTTATGAAGGACTGTACCGCGAAGTCCTGGATGGAGGGCGGCTCATAAATGTATTTCAAGTGAAAACCGGTGTTAGACAACGGTGTTTACTCTCACCCTTTCTTTTCCTTCTATTGGTCGGATGGATTATGAAGATCTCTATATCTGAGGGTTATTATGCAATACCATGGACAGGTTGAATGCAGCTAGACGGTCTGGACTTCACAGATGAACTAGATCGCCTATCCTACACAGAAGAACACATACAGATCGAGACAACCAGTGCAGCAGCGGCTTCTGCATCAGTAGGCCTCAACATATACAAGGGAAAAAGTAAGATCCTCAAATAAAACACGAAGAACACCAACGCAATCGCACTTGGTGGAGAAACTCCAGAAGAGCTGGAAGCCTTCACATACCTGGTCAGCATCATCGATAAACAAGAACGATCTTATGCAGATGTAAGGGAAATGATTGGAAAGTCAAATGTAATGATCCCACATATTCTTTAATTGGAACATATGGGACTCATGTGGTGTTTGAATGGACTAATGATACCTTTGTACTGGTTGAATGTTTGATTTCGAATTCTAAATACAATACATTCGTTGGTGCCTGTGTCTTCTTAATTCAATTGCGTTAATCCTGGAATTCCTAATTCATACAACAATTAGAAAACTATAACTCAAAACAAATATCAGCCAATATCAAAGTTAGAATCGTCAATACGAACGTCAAAACAGTTATACTGTACGAAGCTGAAACTTGGAGAACTATTACGACCATCACCAAAAAGTACAAGTATTTGCAAACAGTTACCTACGCCAGATACTCAATATCCGTTAGCGAGATACCATCGTCAACAATCTAATATGGCAAAGAACAAACCAACTTCTAGCTGAAGAAGGAATTAAGGGAAGATGCCGAAGGAGGGTAAGACATACATGGTTTATATCATAAAACTGCATCACGAGGCGAGCCCTTACTTGGAATCCTGAAGGCGAAAGATAAAGAAGAAGGCTCAGACACACATTGCTTCGGAACTTGGAGGCAGACGTAAAAAGAATTAATGTCAGTTGGAAACAACTGGAAAAGAAAGTCCAGGACAAAGTTGGATGGGGAATACTGGTGGGAGGCCTATGGTTCTGCACAAGGGGTAACAAGCGTAAGTAATTAAATCTTGATGGTGTACGAGACAAGAAATCGCTTTTAAATAGGTCTCATAGAATATAAGTTATGGTGTATGGAGTTCAATTCAAATGTGTAAACGTACTCTATCAGGAAAAAATAAAAAATAACTTCATCTTTGTTTTTATTACGATTTAAACATTAGGAAGTTGTAATGTTAGCTAATCGAAGACAGTGTAAAATCCGGTATGAATGAGAATCGATCGAAGTTGGTACATTCAAGAGAAGTACACGGGTAAAGAAAATTAGCGAGGCGAGAGGCGAACGGGGTAACAACAATACTCACCAAAGTGAAAAGTAGATATTAAGAAAATAATTGAAAATGAATAAATAAGATCACAGATTAAACGGTAAGGGATGAAATTAAGCTCGAAATCTAAGGGGGCGTAACGGATAAATACAACTACATTATCACAATCCATTTTGAAGAATGCAACTAAGCATCTTCAACCAGAAAGCTGACCCCTCTTCAAGTACGACTTTGTCAGGTGTCAGTGACGTTACAAACGAATTTCCTATTTCGATTTGATCACCTTTAACCTTATAATAACACATCCCTATAGTATCCAGTAAAGATTATATTCACTGGTCGTAATAAGTGACTGTAAGACATTGAATAACATCAGATTGAAAAAAACATAATTTCTCAGACGATAATAAAAATACTATGCTATGTCATAAAGTCTGAACAAATTTTAAACTTACGACTTTGTAGTATGTAGATAATCTTCATATGAAACTCGACCGTCACAATCTTGGTCAAACTCTCTGAAAATAGTACGCAGTAGACCAGATGGTAAAGATGGTAAGTATCTACTCCATATTTTGTGTAAATCATTTATCATAACAAAGTCCTTTGAATCTAGATCTAAACAATCAAATGATAATCTATTGTGTTTGTCAATATGTGGAAGGTTATTCTGAAAATGTTTCTGAAGCATTTGGATAGAAGAAAGAAAACTATTTACAATCAGAAAATAAAGAGTTTACAAACCCGGAAAATGTTAGACCAATTGGCTCACCATCGGGATTTGATTCAAAAAATGATAAAATACATTTCATCTCTTCCTTATTCGGCTTCCTTCCATAAAGTTCGATAAATAACGTTTTACAGCCTTCTCTGTCCACGTAAAATCCATCAGAACAGCTATAATTGCTAAAAACTTTATGCAAGAAACTGGACATATTAATGGAGTGGTTCGGATAAAAGATTTGATAAGGTTCAGCTAGCTGGTAAAGAACAGTTCATGAGGACTTCCTACCAGTCAAACATTATTGTGGGAAAAATCTATGAAATAAAAAGATAGACAGTAATCTAGAGCACTAGTAAACTGAAACACAAGAAGCATAAACATAGAAAATCACTGGCATAATTCTTAACCACTTAAGGAATTATTTAGACATGTTCATGAAATTCGACTTAATATCAATAAAACACGCTTATAATATAACTAGAATCGAACGGTTACAGTAAGCAGTCAAGCAGAATAACATTAGATTAGCCTGAGAATATATAAACGAATTCGAGAAGTTCATTCGAACATATACTGATCCTTTCTTGATGATTTTAGACGTTCTTTCCAGGGACATTTTGGTAGAGATTTTAGTGAGTATTGCAACTACTTTGGTTTTCACAAATTAACAACTTTGCAGTACAAGACAAGTTAAATAAATGTATAAGCTTATCACGTCTTACAAATTTCGATAAATCTTTAAAGCCGCATTAAAATGAGTTAGATTGTACCATAAAATACCCCATGTTGTGGCTGACTGGACCAAGAGATTTATATTTTTAGGAACCTTAAAAAAATAATAAATACACGATTTAGATAACTAGCACGCTGCAGTCACTGAAAGATATTGCTTAAACTACAGTTCTGACAATTTTGTCCCGGTTTCTAGATATTATAGTAATATACTGTATAAGCATAATTATAAAAACGTTAGTACTTTGGAAAACACATTTGAATAACTTCTTCAGACTGTACAGTTATGAATATACAAATATTGCACTATAAAAAATATTGAAGTATACATAGGAACATTCTGGTTGGATCGAAAATAATAGATTATAGATTGACGAAGTCTCAAATAATACCATGATGCTTAATTAGTAAGGTTAAAAAAGTTACACAAGAAAAAGTCATAGAAATTACATGGCCTAAGGTAATGAGTCCTAATTAACAAATTAAAATCGTATGTAAAAAGTAGAAATTGTTGTGTCGTGGTAATTGTGATAGTGATGATGATAGTAACAATATCTGTTAATAAGTATAATGTGTAAAATTAGAAAGATGAACGTATAATTAGGAATACGACAGTATCACAGGAAAGCATTACAAATCTATTCGTTGATGTGAGGTCAAACCTAATGATAAGTCACTGAAAAGATATGCCTTGAGCCAAATTGAATTATACTGAACGTATGCCACTGAGTTAAAAAAAAGATCCTATAGAGATTATATACCACTGAAGATTTACTTCAAAATCTAAAACATTCATAATCGAAATATGTTCAGGAGGCAAAAAAAACAAACAAGGGAAATAAGGTAGGAATCAATCAAATCGAAGGACTAGGTAATCAATCATTTGAACCTGACTTACCTAGCATTTGTAGCTGGTGCGCTTTTAAATTTATTTTTTTAGTTTGGACCTAGTAACCCACCTCAATTTGATTCCTATTCAAAGTTTTGTAATATGCATAGATATTAGAATCATTTGAAGACAGATTTTTAGTTGGAAATCTATTTATCCCAACACAGGGTTTAGTAGTATCAACAAATTTCAAGGATGTTGGATTTTGATGTTGTGTTCAGTCGATGTGCAGTCTGTTACGTTCAAACATGACCCTAGTTTCCAGAATCTTGTCTGATCATTCGTCAGAAGGCTAATTTTATTTGTTACCAACCTTGTCGAAAAATTACAGTACCTTGTCCCCTGCAGTGACCATAAAGCTTTCATTAGATTCTAATTTTCAGATAACCTTAATTTTCTGAGTAAGCATGCTTCTTATGTGATGTTTGTTGCTTGTAAGCTAATTGCAGCTGTTAATTAATGTGGTTTTGAATCTTTCTAGTTCTAAATTTGTTGACCAAAACTTGTGTCTGTAAAAATAGATTCTTGAACTAAAAGTCTGTCTGTGCATAACTCTTCTCAAACATATTTACACATATTAGAACTAAAGAATGTAAGAGATTGAATTCTCTACTTAAAGCAAAAAATAAAACGTAATTCAAAGTAATGGGGTGAATAATTAGGTTTAACATTGTAGTAAATCTTCCTAATGTAAAAAATGAAATACAGTGGTTTCATTTAGTGGGGCAAACACCAGACAGTGAATTTTTGTCATCTATAAATTATTTAGTTTTCAGTAAAGATGTGTCAGTCTACAAAATATTTGAGTGAAAGTAGTTGTCAGATGAACTCCAAGTCCGCAAACACTTATTAGTAGATTTTAAACTATCAACCAAAGAACAGTTCATTGGCCGAGTGGGAGCTTATGGCGAACTGTCATCAGAATTGATTACCTCAAGTGGTGTTTGTCAGGGCTGTCCACTCTCTCCATTCTTGTTTAACTTTGTCGTTGACGTGCTTTTAGAGATAACACTTTCCTCGTCTAGATTTCCAGGGGTTGAACTTCTACCGGGAGGTTCACTTGTTAACTTGGAATATGCATATGACATAGTTTTATTTGGTGAAGACGCTGACAAAATGCAGTCTTCTGACCACTCTAAGCAACAATGCAGGCATGTTCGGGATGCGATTCTCTCCCTCGAAATGAAAAATGTTGCTTCAGGATTGGGTTGCATCGACACCCGAACTAATGATAGGGAGTGAAGTTGTTGAGCGTGTCGATCGCTTCACCTATCTTGGAAGTTTCATCAGCCCTTGTGGTCTACTGTGTGACGAAATCTCAGCACGGATACAGAAGGCTCGACTAGCTTTTGCCAACTTGCGTCATTTATGGCGTAGGCGAGATATCAGTCTATCAACCAAAGGACGTGTTTACTGCGCAGCAGTTCGTCCCGTCCTACTTTATGGCAGTGAAACATGGCCGGTAAGAGTAGAGGATATTCGTAGGTTACTAGTATTTGATCATATGTGTCTTCGAAATATTGCTCGTATATTCTGGGACCATCGAGTAAGTAACGCAGTTGTTAGGAAATGGGTATTGGTGAGGATGGCAAATCAATTGATGAAGTGGTGAAACTTCATCAGTTGAGATGGCTGGGACACGTGTTACGTATGCCCAAATACTAACTGCCTCGACGTGCTATGTTCAGTGGTATAGGAGTAGGTTGGAAGAAAGCTAGGGGCGGCCAAACCAAAACATGGCACAAGTCCATGAAGTCACTGACAAGTGAACTGAGTCATGTTGGTAGGTGTAGACTACCTGGTTGGGGACCGTGAGATGATAGAAACCGATGGTTAGAGACCCTGAATGGCATGGCTCAAAATCGTTTGCAATGGCGCAGGTGCATCCACTCGTTGTTTTCTCCCAAATTCTAATCTTCTGAATTCTTCATGTCATTTCCTTTTTTCTCTTTCCAAATTTATTTCACTGGATTATACTCCTTGAATAACATCTTCAAACCCTAATTTTTCTGATTACAGCTTATAATTTTACTACATCTAGCACTACGGGATTTGGATCGACAACTGTATCTCTGTGCTAATATAGTAATGGCAACTTGAACCGACGTATATGAGTACGAAGTTCTACTTTGTTGCTGACTGACTGAGAGTCCATTTCTTGTTTGAACTAAAAGCACTTAAGGTAATGGCAAAACATTATGATCACATCTATCAAATTTCCTATACCAATGTACCAAAGGTGAAATTTCTTCTCGCTTTTGAGTTTGAAGTAATAAATAAATGAGTTTCTTTATTATTTTAGTGACTTATTTCACTCAAGAATCACAAAAGCGAAAGTTCTGCTCACACATGTATGCATGTACCTGTATGTAGTTTCGATAAGGACCACCTGAACCATAGAGGCATTTTGTCTTTTAATACGTACGTTTTCTAAACCAATTTGATAGTGATATATGGAGCACAATCTGAAGCCATCACAGTCAATACCTAGATCTATGATGGAAGTATCAGGAAGTTGGTTCGAATAACTAAACATTCAGCGGTCATCCGGGTTTGTATGCAATAAAATATGGACGATATCTGATAAACTAACAACGAGGACTTTCGTAAACTATAGAGGCAGAGTTAAACGCATAAACTAATCCAAACTTAAAATTAGTTGTTAATAGCACACATGTCAGTGTATACTACGAATAATCCAGTCGGGAATTAGATGGGGTCGGATGGGTTTACATGAAGGCAAATAAATTAAAGATTTATCCAAACGAAAGCCTAAATTTTTCAAACATTCGTCTTTAAACTCTGCATAGTTTACCCAAGTGAAATATATGGCTGACTAAGCCTTGCGTATCAACACTTTCTCAGGGCCAGATAAATAAAACATGGGTGATGTTCAGTAATTAATGGTTTAAAATTGTTGTGAATGGAACAGAAGAGATATTTTAGACGGATCGGTGATTCTCCCAAGTGGGGGTTGTTTTGTAAGGCATTTTGCTGTAACATGCATGAGTATATATTGATCACATCACGATCAGCTACTGCTGGCGTGGTTGTGTACAAGACTGCCGCTCCTTTTGGAGTACCTATCTGGACTCTAACCATGCATTGGTCTGCGCCAATCTTACCTTACTTTTCAGTGGACAACGAAGTGACGGCCACCAAAGGATTGATGTCAGCAATTTTTTTGCATTTCTGTTGCAAGTACGTATCGAACAGAGCTAGCTGCTAGGCTAGCTACCGTTCCACCGAAAAGTATAGATGAGCATTGGTTGCAATTGCATGACGCCATGAAAATGGCGAAAAAAGTCATTTGTGAGTTCGCGAAACGTCCCGCTTATAATCACTGGGTTTCTTCAGGCTCCTTACAACTAATCGAAGCCCGTCGGTCTACTCGGGTGACTGTGCGTTTGACCACAAACGACGACTGTTACGTAATGAAATTGGGCAAAGCTTGCGTAAGGACCGAGAAGCCTGGTGGTCGGAGCGTGCTTATGAACTGGAAGCAGCAGCTGCATCTGGTAACTGCCGGAAGCCCTTCCAACTCATTCGAGCCACTAGCAGCAAGAAGTCTGGTGTGAGTGAAACAATCT